GTAGGGTTTGTGAGGGGGTCTGTGAGGGATCTGGGGGGGTTGTGGGAGGTCTGCGAGGAATGCATGAGGTGCGGTGTGAGGGGGTGTGGGAGAGGACTGAGGAGGTATGTGAGGGGTGTCAGGGAGGCAGCTCGGAGGTGCCCGGGTGGCTGGGTCACTTACATCCAGCAGGAACAGGACTGGGGAGATGGGTGCTAGGCAGAGGGTGGTGGTGTTCCTTCTGAGGTCATAGTTGTTTGGAAGGGGAGGGGGAAAGGGGCATTACCCCTGGACCTTTGGCAGTGCGCTGGCTCCGGGGGCTTGGCAAGAAGGCTGCTCTGGGTCCGTGCTAGCAATGTAGTTCTGGGTTTTATGGCATTCTACACACGGCAGCTTCGGTCCAGGTTCATCATAAAAGCACAGCTAAGCTACAGGCTGCACTCAGTGGGTTTGCACCTTCATCAGTGTTTGTTAGCCCTGCGTCTGGGAAGCTGTACCCATGTAGTGCACGCTGCTTAAGCTCTGTAAATTCATGCAGGGCCCCTAAATGCTGACATACCACAATGGTGGAATATTCTGTTATTATACTTCGTAGCACACCTGCCGGTAGTTGAGCAAGACAAATTTGGCGTGACGCTATTATGTAGGTGCCACTACAGTTCAGTTCTGGACCTATACAAATCTTGCTGGTTTTGATTTAATGCAGACATGCCTCTCTCTTTTACAGCTGTCTTCATAAAACTGTAGTTGTAGTGTGTTTTATGAAAAGTATTTGCCATTTATTTGGAGAGCCTTCATTGTGAAGGTGTGATAGAAATTCTGACTTAGAAGTAATGGGGCTGGTTTGTGAAGGAACATGGATTCTACTGAGTAGGAAAGGAAGGGAGATAAATACGTGTGTGAAATAATATTCATGCAAAGCGGCAATGAGCTTTTCACAGTCTGTTTTCATTCCACCTTTACATTAAAGCACAAAAGAACATGAAACAACTTAAGGTTATTGAGGCTTTTTTACCTGGTGGTAGCAAAAAACCATCAGCAACATCTTTATGCTTGTGGCTTTTATTGCATGAACTGCAGCTGGAGAGAAAGGAAGAGAGTTGTGTCATGAGATGTGACCTTTAGGACCATGCCAGGAGCCTGGGAAATAATACCATTTCCTTGCTGTAAAAAACTTGGCAAATTGACAAGCATCAAAGCAATTTACTCTTAATATGAAATTCACCTTTGCCCTAAGCACTTCTTTTCATATTTGAGGCTTAGTACAGATTGATTAAAGGCAAAACAGCAAAGGATTTCTGAAATGTCAGGACCTTTCTGGTGTTCATCCAACTGCACTACTCTCATTTTATTACTTGGTTAAGATGCAGAGGAGGTGTCCTGGTGCTCAGGACACTCTATGTTCCTCTCCATTGCACCTTCCCCACCTTCCCGGTCACTTCAGCCATGCTCTGTGGCAACCACAGCTTTATTCCAGCTTGCCCAGCACCAGGGAAGGATGTTGCCTTTGCCACAAATTCTCAGCCCCTCCTGGACTGAATTTTTTGGGTTTGGGTTTTTTTTTTTTTACTGTGATAGTGGTCAAACATGAGCGGGTTGCCTAGACAGGGTATGGAGTGTCCATTTGTGGAGATACTCAGCACCCAACTGGACTTGTCCTAGACAACCTGCTCCAGCTGACCCTACTTGAGCAGGGGGGGTGGACTAGATGATCTCCAGAGGTCACTTCCAACCTCAACCGTTTTACGATTCTGTAGTTTGCATGTCCCAGCTGTGACTGAGCCTCTCATATTCCCACTTCATTCTAACCACCAAAAATGCCTGATTTTAGTAGAGACTTGTCTTTTCATTTTTGGCAGTGAAAGCTGAGCGTCAGCAGAAAGGGTGTTGCTTCAGGGTCAGCCTGAAGGATGGGACTTGGCAGGAGCGTATCTATGGGACGCTGAACAGAGGTAAGAAGCGAGGAACCCAGGTGGAACATAGAGCGAGGAGAAGAACTGGCCAGGTGAAGTAAAATGCCCATTAACCATCACCCTAAACCCCAAACGTGCAGGTTACCTCATGTCACATTCTGCAATGACCACACAGAGCATTTAGAGGAAAACAGGCTTTTTCATCTTCACTGATGATGAAAGCTGTCTGCCCTGTGAGGCTGGTGATTTTGGAAGGACTGGATGCAATGTTCATAGGCTTCGGCATTTTGTGGATGTGATGATAGCGCTGCACTCCACTTGGCCAATGATCTCTCCTCACTGGAACCCTCAGATCTTTCCTCAGTATTATTGTCTGTGAAGTTCATTAACATGCAATTTGCTCCCTCCTCATTAATAACCATGTCAAATAAGAATAGTCTTAACGATCCTGTCTGTGGGGAATTTTTCTTTTAATGAGAGTGATTCAGAGTTCTTACTCAGACATAAATATGGTATCCCCTAGGTTTTCCCACATCTCCTCCCAACCCCTCCTCTGTTACAACGTCTTCGTGGCTTTGTTGCTTTTTAGAGGCTTAACACATCAAATTCACGTGGGCAGCCCAAAACTGAGATAGCTGCATGGCTTCTTTTTCAGCCTTTCCAAAATAATATTTCCATATACGTTCAGCCCCTTTCCATTTCTGTGTAATGATGACCCAGAGCATTCAAAGCGCTAGATCGCTAGATACATGTAAATGCAGAGGGATAACCCTAAGCGAAGTTCCTCTCTAAAAAATAAAAAAGTTAAATCAGGTATCTTAGAGCTAAAAACTCATTCTGGTTCTTTGACATTGTGTTTCCAGATTTGTTGTATTCATTTGCAGTAGATTCTGACATGGCTGTTAATTTTGCCTTGGAAACACAACCAGTAATAGTTTGAAAAAAGACTTTAAAAGAATTACTCAAGTTCCCACCTTCTAGATGTGGATTTCTCACCCATTTCAAAAGGTGGCAAGATGAATCCTTGATTCAGCACTTAGTCCAGCTGAGATCTAAGGAAGATCTGTTCCTGATGGAGGAAGTTTCAGCTTGTCCGCCAGTGGACATAGTGAGTAAGCTGTGGAGCTCCTTAGCCCAGGCTGCTGTGGATGCCAGAAGGTCAAGTGGGTTCAAGTGAAGGCTCAACAAGTAGACAGAAGGAAAACCCACTGAGGTTTATCTCATGCTAAGAGGAAACACCTCTGGCTCCAGGAAGTCCCCAAGAGACAAATTGTCAAAGCTGATATCTGGAGGATACCCCCTCTTCTTATACTCCTACCTAGGGTCAGCTTTTGGCCACAGCAGAAGGTGGAATTTGGGGCAAAAAGGACATTTGCTCTCTTGCTGCCCAGCTAACTTTTGTGATCTCACTCTTCATTAGATTCCCATCCCCTCCTGGCTTCCACCTTCTTAACTCACAGGAGGTTTCTACCACATCAGCTGAGCTGAATGCTGAACGGGGAGGGACAGAGCTCTGACTGAGGCAACGAGAACAGCAGCTGGAGGAAGAGGTGGTGGAAACCTCTTCCATAAGGATATAAAAAGGGTTATGCCTCTTAAAAAGTTACTATTAAACAAGCACGGGGCTAAAGGAGGATTCCCCCCCCCCTTCAGGATGAAAATAAAGCAGAGGTTCTCTGACAGTATCACCAGAATGCTTGTCTTCACCGGCCTCCAGTTACGGGAAATGAAGATTTTTTCCAACCAGACTAATCAGCTGCACGTTGCAGCTGGCTTACCCCATAATACTATGCAAAGCTAGCATATGGCTCATTACAATATACCCTGACTAAGTGTGCAGCCAAACAATCCACCAAGGCACTTTTGCTTCTCTGATGTGCCGTTTGCACTTTTTGCAAACAAAGCAACAAACAATTCCTTTGGAGGCACTTTTCAATTTTAGATGAGGCTTGGGGATGCTCAATTTCTGGCCGTACCGTGACTGATGTTACAAGCTGGTTCCCTTCCCTTTGCTAGATGGACAGTTGTCTGTTGCAAACCAGCTCTGGTTCACGTTCCAGAGAGATCGGAGCTTCCTCACACATCACGTATCTCTGACAGTGGATGGTTACTCTCAAGCTGTCTCCCCAATCATGCCCCAAGGTGCACATCTGCATTCAACACCCTTCTTGGCCAACAGCATCTGTCACTAC